CTGAAACTGCCCTGATCGGCTGCATCCCAGTCAACAGCCGGATGTGCTCCGTTGGATTGTCTGGCTAATTCCGTTCTACGAATTCGCGCGGGGACAAACGGTGCCTCTGTCATTGCGGCTTATTCCTCCACAAAATGCAGCATTGGTTCGTTGGAAAATGATTTTATCACCAATTTAACGATCTTTTTCGTTACCGAAACAGTACGGATGCTGCGGAGCTTGGTGGTGATCTAAACACCTAAGTCAGTAAGTTGAGGAGCTTCTGCGGTACTGCGAACATTGTGTAGGCTTCCGTAATGATAACGATTAGCGATTGTTTCACCTGTGTGAAGGATTCCGTCTCTTTGCGAGCACTAGTTTTCGGCACAGCACCCGGAGAAGAGTGACTTGACGCCCACCAGCCATGGACGCAAATCGATCACATCGCGACCTGTTACCGCTGGTGAGGCTGTGTCCAAAACTCGCTCGATTTGGAGCACGAGCGTGGACTCCGACCGCACTCTCGTGTGTGCCGACCTGTGGGTGAGTTTCGGTGGACTTGCGCAACGTCGCTCTGAATGCATTGACACCAGCCAGCTGGCGAAGCCAAGTGTTGTGAATGCGTATTAAACTACAGTGGTATTTGGGCTGAGTAAGCGTCCAGTGAACACCGTTGCAGATCACTGGTCGCATATTCGTGAGATGTTACTATCAGTAGGCATGTGGTCAGTCAAATTGCCAACATACACATTAGATCTCTACAAAGTCTCTGGAACTTATAGATGCTCGTCGACGTATTCCGGCTGGAAGGGAATACGAAGAGACTCGCAAAAATCTCAGGGCAAAGTTGCGTGCTAGCCAGAAGAGATACCACGAAGCCTGGTGGTCTCATCGTGCATCGGAAATATTAACAACCGCTGCCATTGGTAATCACCGTAAATTATTCCGTCTGATACGGGAAATAAGTCGCAGCAGACCTGGTGTTAGCGACAAGAGTGAACAGCCGATCCACAGCTTGTCAATACGCTTGGAGCTTTGGGCCGAACGTTTTGCAATCTGAGTTACCGGTTTCTCTTTCGGGCATGGAGTGCCCTTCTTCATGGTTCGTTTCCTTAGATCCGCCCTCATGCGCAGAAGTCGAACTTGAGATCAGACTGTTAAAGTTGCATAAGGCTGCTTGTGCAGATAGAATTCCCTCAGCTGTCTACAAATTCGAAGGACCTGGTCTTGTGACTGATTTACATGAGTTGCTAATGGTACTTTGGGAGCAGAAAACTGTCCCGACAGACTTTAGCCGCTCCGTCATAGTCCCAGTTTTCGAGGGAGGCTCCCGTTCGGAATGCGGTAACCATAGAGAGATCAGTCTGATCTCAATTGCCTCTAAATTGCTAGCTTCTGTCTTTCTCCACAGACTGACTGGTGCTCGTGAAGGCCAGCTCGGTGAAGCGTAGGCCGGCTTTCGTCGAAATCGATGCTGCATCGACCACAATTTCACTTTGCTTCATTTGTTGGAGCACCGCCATGTTTATTGGCGAGTCACCATTGTCGTGTTTCTCGACATCAGTGGTGCCTTTTGGGAGTGTATGCTGAGAAAAGGTGTCCCCGATAAATATGTAAGCATTATCAAAGCGCTGTACGCACATAGTTCGGGCTGAGTGAAGGTTATGATAAACTGTCGCCTCCCTTCAGTATCTCCAGCGGTGTGAGGCTAGGTTGCCAGCTGTCGCTTTTCCATTTTAAATTCACTATTGATGGAGTCATGGAAGCAGCGTTCGCTGTTATGTATGCATGTATGTAATCTCAACAATCTATTAACTAGACATAGAACCAGCATAAAACCATGGAGATCAGCAGGTAATCAAGATTCATCGCGTCATAACCATCGTGACATGCTAGTTGAAGGTGAGCAACACACTCCAACTAATATGCCGCAGGACGAATGGAACATTTTGACAAAAAAGTAGAACAAAACTTTTTTTAGTTTGTTTTTCACACGCCGCTTTTGCTCTTTTTTGTCATTTTAATCTTCGTAGTATTAATCATATGAATCAAGAAAATACTGTACACAATTCTTCCACTGATTCCGGTTGCGGGCCATATCTTCAAGAGTGCTAAGCCATTGGCACTCCTCATCTTTGGGTCCCCATCCTGGAAGACGTACGGATCCAACAGCGGATAGACACGACGTTAGCGATTTCATGTGCTGCCGCCAAGTGGAAGGCTTACCACCACGCGGTCGCCTCCAGCCAGGTCCTTGACGAGCGAATAGACCGCGACGAGGTAGACGCTCAGGTGCCATGCGTAGGACATGACCGAGCCATATCAACTGGCGCAACAAAACCAGTTTGTTGAAGGGAATACTCGCATTCCCCAAGATGCGACGTCGAACGTCATTACTATTAACTCGATGTTGCCACCAAACACGAGCGATCCTCCTTAGGCAACCGTTATCGAACGCAGAAAGACGCATGTCTTCCACGCGAATCGGCCAGGACTCGCACCCATACAACAATATTGAGCGAACTGATGCACTGTAAACTCGGCCTTTTAGTGAGAATGAGACGTCGCGACGACGCCACAAGTGCCTCAAATTGACAAATGCCGATCGAGCTTTAGCGATACAAAGAGAAACTTCTTTGTTGATAGTGCCATCAGCAGAAATACAGCTCCCAAGGTAGACGAAACTATCTACCTGTTCAAGTTGTGCACCTTCGAGAGTGAGTACGGGAGCAGGCAAATGCCAATCTTTGAGCAGTATTTTACACTTCGATGGGGCGAAGCTCATGCCATACTTAGATGCTTCAACCGTAGCGTAGAATTCTACGCTACTGCACGCTACTCAACTACGCACTGGTGATGTCATCTCGATTGGTGACGAAACGTTTGCAACCAAATTGCCAAGCTCAGCGAGCAGTTCAACTGCCATTATTGTTGTTGTTATTATTATCATTACTGCTCTTTGGCTCATTTGGGTTGTCCTTGTTTCAGCCCACTTCGTTGCCATGTTACCCGGCATCATGTCTCTTATTGACCTCTTTTGCGAAAAGAATGCACCCATTTTCTTTACTTTATCGCGGTAAGCGCGTTCTATCATTCTGTATTTCTCGGGCACAGCCAGTTGCGAGCAGTTAAATTTCGATCTCTAGATCCACCCTACTTGGTACGCTTTTTTTGAAGTTCTTTTCTAGTTTCGTACTAGCTGGCAAAGCCACGAATACCGGTGTATGCGAGCCTCCAGTTTGACGTTAAAAGTCGTGATTTCGTTATCTTGGAGCGGTATTGCAAATATTTGCACCGCTTCATTTCTACAATGAATTTGCAGGTTTCCTGGTGCGTTCCGTTTTGTTGCTCTCACATATGTTTCGGATAACCCCAGTTTTCCACTGCCAGCAAGACGAACCACTTATCGTCTTTATCACCCAAACTCAACCCAAGTGTCGACGGAATTTGCGTTGCTTGACTACCATAGAGTTTATCGGGTATTACACTTTTCTCTGATTCTATTGGTTGCATTTTAGGTAAATAACCTAAAGGCCATTCACTTACCTTTGCTTTTGGACGTCCTGTATCAAAATCTGCCCGAAGCAGTAGAGCTTTCCGTTAGACGGGTGAGTTCTTGTTTATTCTTTCACTGTTATCTCCTTCTCTCGACCAGGCGGATCCAAAATCCGATGAGGATCGATATGTGCCCCAGTTGGAAGTGCACGCGCTACAAGATGAACTATCTAAACTATCGAAGTGAATATTCATCAATCTTTGAACGCAAGCCATCCGGTCTTTTGTATGATATGTAAATTTACTATCTACTTTCTTTTCTCTCTCCACCACTCAGTTTTCCTCACCTGTTCCATTCAGTAGTCCCGAAAGTCCAAATTTGCGAGGAACGGAAGATGATTCTCATCCACTGAATCTTGCAATATATATATATATATATATATATATATATATATATATATATATATATATATATATATATATATATATATATATATATATGGTTGGCGGCATCCGATTTCGGATTTGCCTGTCACTGTGGCAAGCCACAGGATGCCTGCGCCTACAGAGGGACCATGGATGGCTTGCGCTGCACCATCCACAGCTCCAACCACACACCCCATATCCAGTGTAGACCCGAAGGAATAAGACCAGGAGGCATGCGGATGGGAACTACGTTTCATCAACGGAGCCGGCCCACACTCCTTCTCTGGCAAACACAAGCACACTGTATTTGGGGAATCAAGCGGACACAAGGCGGTGGCTGGACCGTAGTCCGCTCCACACTGAGTGCATGGAACCACTCTTCGAACCCAGCATAACCACAAGACGGTGCACCCTCTCCCCTCCAGCAACGACCAACTGTCTCCTGGAGCCAGTATGGACGAGGTAGTGGGTAATAGGCAGGTAGGCACCTTGTCAACATGCACATCAAGCGCAGTCACACCGGGGATATCAAACAACAGCCAATCATTTGAGAGAGAGAGAGAGAGACAAAGAAAACAACTCGATTAATGCATAAGGAAACGGTGACATAAACCTTAAGTTAATGAGCGTATGAAATAAGTTGTTTACAAACGAATCCTAGATGGGTTCACGAGGTCAGAAAGTATACTTTACGGAAATGCCACGAACAAGAAAATGTTACGGAAATCGAATACAATTGGCTCAGGCGAGGTTTTGCAAGTTAATGGTATAGCATACAGGTAGACATTTGTATGAGAAAGAAAAGCATTTAGACAAAATTATATATATATGTATATATATATACATATATATATATACATATATATATATACATATATACATGGTATATTCCTCCATGATTCGAGGTGCGGTCTAACTATGTGGTCTGATCCATGTGTACAACAGGATCGCGGAAATAATCAATTTGTTCACGATTTTCCCAATGGAACCAAAACAGTAATTTTCAGTATTAAGGTCTTAAAGAAATTATAAAACCGGAAACAATAACATAATTACATTTAAACAAATGTCCAGTTAAATTAATACGGCCACTCGTGAAACCGTCCCCAGGGGACCTGCTTCCATGCAAGATATTCCCTCGAAAGGTTTCGCCCGCACTTCCGGGCCGTGTACCGGTGTGGCATAGTAGCATATGAGTCGTCACATGTTTACCATATGTTGTGTTCTTTTTAGGGCTGCTTTTCTACATGTATTATTGGCGATGAAGCCTCAGTCCAGTCCGTCATGCGGATCATTCAATTATGGCATTTTTTATACGGCAGTCAATTTGTGGCAATGTGCCTTGCATAGATAAAGTCTTTTATAATCTGGAAGCTATAATTCGTCACTACAGCAGATCAGCCCAGTCGTGGCCAACAATGAAATAAGGAAGAATGTAGAAGAAGAAGAATGATGTGAAAGAGGTACCATATCGTTGATGTAAAAAGTAGGCAGGTGTGTTTTTTACATCAGCGTAACAATGGATCGAGCCGATCATACGATCAAATTGTGTTGCGTGACAGCCGGAGACAGATAACTGTACGAGTTGTCCATTGGCAAAAGTCACATAGGGAATCCGTTATTGCCACTAGTATATGCTTGGACTGTTAACTCCAGAAAAGAAGGAGAAATGGTTAGCTCTGCAGAACAAATGTAGCGAAGGGGATCGCAGAAAAATATTACGAATTAATTAAATTGTGAGGAGAATTCCTAAAATAGTTCCCGGCTCCACACCAGTAAATAATTTTGCTCTCGGATTTAAACAGAAGACAGTTGGTATGAATTTAGTTTGAAAGGAGTAAAACCGCATAGGAGGTGGCATTAAAGAATAGCATAAGAAGCGGTTTGTAACAGCTCATCCTAGATGATCATGTTTTCGCTGGTGCATTTGTTAGATTTGTTTGGAGTCGATATTCTCCAGTATAAATAAATGGTATATTCCTCGGTGTTTCGAGGTGCAGTCCAACTATGTGGTCTGATCAATGTGTAAAACAGGATCGCAAAAAAATAATCAATTTGTTCACGTTTTTTTACAATGGATCCAAAACAGGTACTAAACTGATTGGCAGGATTAAGGCATTAAAGAAATTAAAAAGCAGGAACAATAACGTAAACAGATTTTAACAGATGTCCAGTTAAAGTAATACGGCCACTCGTGGAACCATCCCCAGGGGACCTGCTTCCATGCAAGGTATTCCCTCGAAAAGTTTCGCTCGCACTTCCATGCAATAACTGGCCGTGTGCCGGTGTGGCATAGTAGCATATGAGCCATCACCTGTTTATCATACGCTCTATTCTTTTTGAGCTGCTTTTGTACATGTATTATGGGCCATGAAGGCTCAGCCCAGTCCGTCATGCGGATCATTCTATTATGGCACTTTTTATACGCCAGTCAGTTGGTGGCAATTTGCCTTGCATAGGTAACGTCTTTTATAATCTGGAAGCTGTAATCCGTCACCACAGGAGATCAGCCCATTCGTGGCCAACTATGAAATAAGGAAGAATATAGAAAAGAAGAATTATGTGAAAGAGGTACTATATCGTTAATGTAAAAAATAGGCAGGTATGTTTTGTACATCGGCGTAAAAATCGATCGAGCCGATCATACGATAAATTGTGTAGCGTCACAGCCGGAGACGGATGACTGTACGAGTTGTCCATAGGCAAAAGTCGCATAGGGAATCAGTTATTGCCATCACTGAATTCAAGTATATGTTTCTGGACTGTTAACTTCAGAAAAGTGGGGGAAATGATTAGCACTGGAGAACAAATGTAGCGAAAGGGATCGTAGAACAATATTACGAATTAATCAATTTGTGGGGAAAATTACGAAAATAGTTCCTGACGTCACACCAGTAAATAATTTTGCTCTCGGTTTTAAACAGAAGACAGTTGATATGAATTAAGTTTAAAGGGAGTAAAACCGCATGTAAGGTAGCGTTAAGGAATAGCATAAGAAGCGGTTTGTATCAGCTCATCCTAGCTGATCAAGTTTTCTCTGGTGCAGTAGAGTTGATGTTCTCCGGTATCATACATGATCCAGCCCTTCTTCATACAGCTTTTCATCATCAAGTTGAATTTGTAAGATCCATTTCGCCCTGTCCGTTGACAGATAAGTCTTTATCATTTTCTTGAACATGCAGAAATGTTCAATACATCTAATCTCTTTTGGCAGCTTATGCCAAATGGAGCCATACCTAAGAAGATAGAAATTTCTCCTTAGACTGCTCTTGAATTTAGGTAAATAGAATATGCATTCGTTATCTCGCGGTTCATAAGTGGTGTTTTCCCAAAAGTGCAATTGATAGGTTCCAATATATGCTTTCCGCCACGCGAGTTTGTGGAGGAAGCACAGATTTAGTTGCATTCTTCGTAACCACAGAGGTTCAAGATTCAATTGCTTGCACATATCTCGGTATGAAAGAGCGGATGAACAGCCAAATATGCGCTTCGTAAAAGCGCGTTGGACGTTTTCAATGGCTCTCAAGTCAGCCTTTCGCAAGTTACTGAACACAGCACAACAATATTCAAGCAAAGGCCAGATACTGATTTTGAAAGCAATTAGTCTGGTTTCTTTCAAGGTTAGCAGGTGGCATATGAGCCCGACCGACTGCTTAGCCTTTTTCACAATATGATTTGTATGTTCGCTAAAGTTTAACGAACTAGAATATCTTAAATCTAAGTCACGAACAGACTGGCTGATGGGAATACCTTCGTCATGAAGCCTGAACACTTTTGCTGCTATCTGACATCCATACGATAGAATACCACACTTCGATTTTGCAAATGTCATCTGCCACATATCAGCCCATCTCTCAATGACTTCCAAGTCGCTTTGGATATTGTTAACTTCAGCGTTACGCTAAGAACCTGGGAACGTGTAGACCACCTTTAAATCATCAGCAAACAAATAAGGCTTCCCAAATTGTATAACAGAAAACAGGTCATTTATACAGAGTGGGAAGAGTAACGGGCCTAAGACACTGCCCTGTACCACTCCACTGGTAACTAGACGAGGTGAAGAGATATAACCATTGATATCCACGACTTGCGACCGTCCTACTAGGTAAGATTGGATCCAAGAGTAAAGCGGATTTGTAACACCGTACTTACTTAATTTACATAACAGCTTTTTGTGTGGGACTCTGTCAAAAGCCTTTCGCATGTCGAGGAAGATGACAATGCGCTGAAGACCTGAGTCAATTGCTTCAGTTAGATTGTTAAGAAAGTCAATTTGACAGGTAACACACGAGCGAGACTTCAGAAAGCCATGCTGTGAAGGTGAGAGAAGTTTGCGTGATATTAGGAACGAAACCAAATGTTCCTTAGCAATTCTGTCTAGCATACGTGAGAGAATGGCTGTGTGACTAATGGGCGGTAGTTCCGGATGTCAGTTTTCGACCCGGATTTATGTCTCGGTATGACCGTAGCCGTTTTCCAACGTTCGGGGTATTGACCAGACTGGAGAGACAAAGAGAAGATATTTACTACTTTAAGAGGGATATCATCTCCACCGTGTTTGATTAAAGCAGAAGAGATCTCATCGGGGCCATGTCTGTAGGATGGTCGTAGACAAGTAATCATACGTCTTATCGTAGCAACACTAAGCTCGATCGCTGCGACTACTTCAGAGAAGTGAAACGAGGTTGACAATTCCAGGGTTTCTTTTTCAACATTAAAGGATCTAGCAAAGTATGAGTTAAAGGCTTCCGCCATGGCAATTGGGGAATCAATGCATTCACCTTCAGGCATGACGATGTGGGAGGGTAGGTCAGTTTTGCC